TTAAAAAAAGGCCGAAAATTCTGAAAATTCTAAAAAATGAAGGCGTCAGAAAGGCGCAGAGGGACCCCAGGAGTTTTAGAATTTCTAAAAATTCTAAAAATTTTAAAAATTCTAAAAATTAAAGGCCCCAGGAAGGCCTGTTTTTTTAGAATTTGTAGAATTTTTGGAATTTTTAGAATTTTTAAAAAGGCCGAACCCAATGCTTCCCAAGGGCCTATATAGTGAGGCCTTGGGGCTTAGGGGCCATATTTTTAAGGACTTGAGCCTGGTTACTTAAAAATCCGGTTACCAACGATTTCTTGGAACCGGAAGGTGCTCCAAGTTATGTCATTAGCTACATATATATTGCATGCCACTAGCTGGCGAAAAACCGACAACCTGAAGCCTTTAAGTCAAGGTGGGGTCGCAAAGAAATTATTCAGAGTTTGATGGGTTCAGGTTTTGGAAATTGAGTGCGCTAAGCTGTGGCTTCTGGAGCGTCAGGATCGGGGCTTGTATAGATATTCACGGTTTGGTGTTACAGTATGGTTCTTCAGGATCCTTTCGAAATTATTTGGTCTAGATACAACGTACAGGGGTCTGTGAGATCTCAAGGCTTCTAAAGCTGAAGGGTCCGAAGCATTGTAAGTGTTCGGGTTTCCGAAACCTGAAACCCGAGACCCTCAACCACAAAACTGCAAATAGCATCCGTTTAGGGTTTAGGGTTTAGGGCCAGGGTTTAGGGTTGAATCTGTAGCACCAGTCAATCGCCTTTGTTGCGGCAGAGGCAGCCCGCAGATCTGGTTGCGCAAACTGGAACGACATGCCAGCTCATCGAATTTTCCCCATTTAGTCGGGTCTTAGGGTCCTGGTTTCCTTTTGGGTAGGGGTTTACGGAACGATGAGCATAGGCCGGAATCCCTAATCACCGATGGCTCGAAGTTGTACAGTTGACAAAGCCGGAAAGTCTTCACCATGTGCGAAAGCACTAAGCAGCCGAAGGTTTCAGTGATCCACTTTCGATGCCACCAGCCTAAGCAGGCAGCCTCGAAGCACTTGCTTTTCCATACCATCACCGGCATGGAGGCGGCAGGCAATTTTCAATATGCCATTGTAGTCTTCCTCACCGAAATTATGATAAAAGCGTGGAGAGTAGAATTCCTCCACAATGTCCTTCAAGGACTCTTCGTATGCCTCGGTGCTGCAAAGATGGAAAACATGTGACACAAGTGTAATTACATATACAAGTTTGGCCTAGCAACATGATACTTCGGAAGAATCGTGAAGCGTAGTCGGCCACGTTTTGTGGCATCGTCGGCGGCTTGTTTGTGAGCATGCAAGAACATGTAGCCTGCAAGAGCTTCAGGGTTTAGGGCTTGGGTTTAGGGTTTAGGGTTTAGGGACAGTAGACATTGCCACCGAATATTCAAAATGAAATGCCCAGTAAGAGGCCTCTGTCATGCAGATCATGGGCTTCTTCCTTGTTGAGATACCTACCATATTTCTCGAGCCGATTTTGCCAGTCAGCCAGGCGGCACCTTGCACAGACGGTTGCAGCACTTCTGCAGCCACAAAAACCCTATAAACGACAAAATCAGGCAAGCCACACCGATTCAACAGCTAGTCGCCCAGAGCGCGCACGTGCTTTCCACATCTCAAGTGGCTCGTTCGGCAGTTGCTCCAACTGTTGCAGAAATTCGTCAGCTGAAAGTGCAACCTGAGCATCGTGCTTTTCAAGCAAAAACCTGATCTGACTACCAGAGCATTATAATTTAATGGAAGCTTGAACAGGATAGCAACAGTTGCAATTAGCCTCAGCAGCTGCAACGAATGCCAAAACACAGCGGGCGTTGTAGGCTTTGAAATTGATCCAGGGGTGTTGTGTCGGTTCTCGCGGATCCTTGCCCAAATGGAACTGTGTGATCTTCCATGGTCGCACTGTACATGAAACCTTCTCGGCACGGCACCAAGTTTTGAAAGCCTTATAGCTTTGCTTTAAAGCTCCTTGCATCGTCAGATTCGGGTCGTGGAGGCATGCTGTCTCTGCCAAAAGAAGCAATGCTTCTGCTGTTTCGACTTGAAACAAGCCCAGGTTGCAGTTGTGCATCAGGCACCACCTCAACCATCGCACGTGAAAGCCAGACAACAAAACCAATGGAGATGGCTGGTCTGGCAGCACTTCATTGATGAAAGCCATGGTGTCGTTCTGTCGGAAGGCAGTCCCGAAGTTGCTAAAAAGCGGGCCCTTGTTTTCCACATTTGCTGCATTGCATCTGTGGCAGATTCTGTTGCAGGTATACCACTGACGAAGTTCGAATGTTTCGACATAAAATTTCCAGTCTCCTTTGATCTCACAAGTGGCAAACTTCATCGACAGCGGTCGTGAGTTGCCTGGCCGGCGCCCTTGCAGCGCCAGGTTCAAGGACCAGACCGCTCTCAAAAGAACGGGTCGCAGTGTCACCTCAGACCATCTTGCTTGGTGTAGTGACAGGAGCTGCGGCTGAGAGGCGGCGACACATCAAGCGGAAGATGTCATTCATAACAACAGACTACGGACACCTCTCTGCATCCGACCCTCACTGTTGATAGGTTTCATGATCATTGCTGTCTGGGCACAGGTCCGCAGTGAAGCTTGTCGGACACAATGAAAAAAAGGAAATACTTTTTCCATGATGGCACTCCTCAGATGCTTCCACAAACACGGTTCCAGACTGCACGACAAATCTCCCCAAACTCCATGCACCAAGAAGCCCTTCGGCTTGTAGAGCGGCGACGACAAAACCAAACCAAGAAATTTGTCGTGCATGCTCGAATATGCAGCTTCATCCCCGTAGAACTTAGTTGTCATCCACATATCATCACGGAACGTACAGAGACTAACTCCTGAATTTCGGTGAGGCACTGATATCGGCAACTCATCCCCGCGCGCTGGGTGTTCCAAGCTCCAAGGGACGCCCAACTTGCGAAAGTGCTCCCAAAACTTCCTCGCGAGAATGTGCGGCAGGGCTAGGTCTTTCTACCTGCTGGCCCGAAAGCCCTAATAAGGGACAGACAAGGCACCGTATGGCATCATCGGGTACATAGATTTTTTTGCTGGTCCACAAATAGTCCAAGAGCTCATGTGGGTCGTACATACAGAGCGGACGTGTCATTCTTTCATCGCTTGTAGGCTCTTTCTTGGTGATGCAATCGACATAGGTGAGTGCCTTCTAGACACGTATCACAAGTGGTGCGAAGCAGCAACATCGTGATTCGCGTGCGAACCCTTCGATTCGTGCAAACAAGCAGCCACGGGAAGCTTGACGAACCTGTAGAGGTCCCGGCTGGAGTTCTTCAGAGAGTTGCCACCCATCTCTGCGAGAGCCCGGGTTGCAGCTGACACATTCTCGCTGCCAGACTCCTGCGTGCAATGACGTTGTGGCTTTACAGGCGAGGGCACTGATCGTGGGAAACACCATGCACTACATTACTTCGAGCTATTGTCTGAATATGTCGCACCAAGAGTTTCGTGATTCTGTACAGCAACTTGATCTTCAGGCCACGTGGCTGTTTCGGCCCCCGCATGAGTGGAAAAAAAACCCTAAACCCTAAACCCTAAACCGACCTTAACCACCCTAACCCGCAATAGAATACAAAAAAACGCATGCCCACATATATAGCAAGCCGGGCAAAACCCCCGAGTCGTTGACAGTTGTTTGCCGCTTCAAGCTCCACATGTAGCATGATACAGCAACAAGCGAGGGTTCGTTGCGGATTAGTTTCATAACTACATTATAATGATCGACAGCAATGAGGCTCTCGGGATGGTCAAGTTTAGGGCAAGTGCATGAACCCATAAGATGTGCACATGCAATGCTTTCGTCGGATTCGGCGATCGACAGCTCGAGACTCATCGTCTGACTGGGAGAAGTTGAGGGCTTAGGGGTTTTGGCTTCCTGACTCAGAGAAAGGGCAGCATAGGGTATAGGGGTCGACCTAGCTTGTTGGGTTGCAGTATGATCATCAGTCCATCATGAATCTGCGCGGCAACGGATGGGTTCATGATCAGTCGTCTTCGTCCGTCGTTCTTCGTCAGATCGCTCGCAACCAATGCCATGCAAGGCGGGTCTGCAGGGTATAGAATTTGTGCTCCCACCACTCTAGGTGCAATCGGTCAGGAAAAGCCGTCATCCTCGTGTCGTGAAATTAAACAGACTGCGAACCCCGAGACATGCCAATGACGATGATGATGCGGCTCCTGTGGCCTGTGGCTTAATGTTAGCGTCAGCAGAATCATATCCTGCAATCACATCCTAGCTTCGAACAAGATAACGGCACCTGTGCAACCTAACATGTGTGTTCAGTGAACGTTGGTGTCGGGAGCGACTGCGATAGCGACGGCGTATCAACACGTACAATAGCGTTGTGTACAGCACATGATGATCTGAAACACCAACCCAGAAGTCACCACCCTTACTTTTGAAGGCCATCAAGACCTCAATCGCCAACAACAAGATCCCCAGAGTTAGTGCATTAGTTTTTCAAAGGTGCAGGAGTTTCAAGACCGGGTAAGTGCAGGGAGTCTAATTATAACTTCGATAGTGTACGATGAAGCCTGCATCCCGACAGGATTTCTTCACAAGCCTGGCTTCGGATTGGGGCGTTCGGTCTGGAGTTTGGGAGAGTTATATAATAATGGGTTTTGGCTAGGGGTGTTTTTTTATATTATAGGTATAATAATATAGAGGCTGATAGCTAATAAAACCGTGGGCTCTAGATTTTGGAATTCTGAGGATGTGGAAGGACGTATTGGGCTCATAATAACTGGTCATTCGGGATCAAAAGAACCGATTCTGTATTCGCAATATCTAGCCTAGGCTTTGAAAGGCGGTGACTGCCGTTATGCAAACCTATATTGTTCGGGAGTTCTTGCGAATGGCTTTTGTAAACCCTAAAACCCCAAGCCCTTGAACCCTAACCCCTCGAACCTCAACCCAACTTAAATCCTAAACCCCTGAGCCCCCCAAACCCTAAACAGGACACCACCCTAGACCAGACATCTTCGATAGTCTACAACAAAGCTTGCAGGTTACATAGAGGGTTCGGGCTGTGAGGCCTGACCGTTATTAGGGTTTAGGGTTTGGGGTTTAGGGTTTTGGGTTGTGGGGTTTCGGGGTTTAGGGTTTTCATCCTCGTAAGTGCTTTGCTAAGCTCCTGACAACCCTGAAAGCCCTACTTAATTCACCAGAACCCACTGAAGGTCCTTCACAAGCCTGGCTTCGGGTTGGGATATAATAATGGGTTTCGGCTGGGGGTGTCAGGTAGAATCTAGAGGCTGATAGCTGATAAAACCGTGGGCTTTAGAGTTTGGAACAATGAGGATATGGAATCGAAGGACCTACTGGGTTTCATCATAAGACCAGGTCATTCGGGGTCAAAGGAACCCGTTCTGTATTAGCAATATAGGCTTTGAAAGGCGGTGACCAACTTTATGCAAACCTATATTGTTCAGGAGTTCTTGCGAATGGCTTTTGTAAACCCTAAAACCCCAAAACCCTAAACCCGGTGGCGGGTGGGAAAACAAAACCCTACACCTAAACCCTAACCCCTAAACCCCTGAGCCCCCCAAACCCTAAACCCGCGAGAACGTGCTGAGCACGGAGGCCTCATCTAGTTAGGACAGCACCCTAGATATCCAAATAAGAACCCCAAACTGGACCCGGCAAACCCCCACACTTGTCCTGGACTGCTGCCTTTGCTGCACGAACAGCCTCACGAGCTGTCTTCTTCCCATGCCCCACATCGGCCAACCTGAGCCGCAGGGCTGTGTGCTGTTGGGACACTCCAAGAAGATCTGAGATCTCATCAAAACTCGGGGCACTCCCCCGCGCTATTGGGGCTCCCCCCCTTTGTTGTGAATCCCAGCCCACCCTACCCCCCCGCTGGGTGTAGACTAGTCAGTCTTAACCGAACCTCATCCTTCCAAACAGCTAGAGCACCTTCCAGATCCGAATAATGAGGCGAGGCACACTGATGCTGCAAATGAGCCGTGGCTGTTGGCACGGAGCTCAGCATTTCCTGCGAAGACACGATTTTCGACAGGTTGGGGTTGGAGGATATGCGTTGTAGCTCGCCATAACATCAGGCTTTCCATTCACTGGAGGACAACTGATTTTGCAGCATCTCGCATGCAGCCTCGATACCGAAATGAATGTGCAAACACACTCGCACTCCAGGGCCACTAGGCATCAGCAGCTTCAAAAGTCGCATCCTGGGGTCAAAACCAGAATCATGGAGAGTTCAAGCCTCAAAGCCCGGCCCATGAATTGATGCAATCAGACAACACTTGTAGCTGCAATCCTGTCTTCAGGGATTGATCTAAAAGTTTAGGGTGTAGGGCTTTATAAGGGCTTAGGGGTTTTAGGTCGTTCGGAAGGGGCCTACGGGTGATTGGGTTGATCTAAAACTTTCGGGTGTAGGGCTTCAGGGCTTAGCGGTTTTAAGTCGCTCGGAAGGGGCCTACGAGTGATTGGGTTGATCTAAAAGTTTAGAGTGTAGGGCTTTAGGGCTTAGGGGTTTTAGGTCGTTCGGAAGGGGCCTACGAGTGATTGGGTAGTTGGATAACGGCTAGCAGCACCTCTAGCTTGAGATCTAGAAGAAGCCGGGATTGGCAAGATCGGCCGAGGCTGGACTCTCGCACCCGACGACAGCTGCTGCTGAGGCTCACTCGGTCAGGGACAGTGAGACATGATCATCACTTCTTCTTGGCAACCCTCTTTGCCGAGGGCTTGTTCACCCCACCGCCCTCTGGTTTCTTTTTATTCTTCTTGATCATCGAATCCTCCTTCTTGCAGTAGTCCACCACGACCAACAAATCCTGGATCTACAATTTATATGGGAGGAATGTGATACAACATGCAACTCTAGTATGGTTTAGGGTTTAGGGTTCAGGGTTTATAATTATGATGATATATAAGTAAGACTCCTTGGCCCGCGCTTCGTAAAGCTCGGCATCCTCATCTCCGGCATCCTTGAGCTCTGCCTCCCCTGAATCGACTGCGATTTGCAAGGCGTCGACGGCTGGCTGCCCATCGTCCAGCAAGGCCTTTCGCAAGCCTGGCTTCCTCGGAAGAGGTATTTGGAGGTTTAGGGTTTGGGGACTCGGGTTTAAGAGGTATTTGGAGGTTTAGGGTTTGGGGCCTCGGGTTTAAAACATATGCAACTAGATCAAACTGGACCTAGGAGTCTTAGGGGTGGCTCTGATGGGTTTCGGGTTTAGGTAGAAATTGTAGGTAGATCTACAGCAGCCAGCACAACAATACTTGCTTACGACCTAGGGACACCCCGGCTTCAGTCAGCATCTTCTCCCAGCCCTCACATTCCTTCAAGAGTCGCTTGGCTCCTGTCAAGGCCTGACGTATAATTCGCCCCTAAAACGATTGGGGGCATGGCTGGGGGTTTCTCAGGGTTTGGGGTTAAGGTGTTTAGGTGTCGGGATAAGGCCCCAACAAGCCTGAGTCCACAGAGCCTTGCCAGTCTTCGGCTTAACGGTCTTCTTGATCTTTGGCCCCATCGAGCCACCCATCTCGATGTCTTCCAACTCTTTGTCCCTGCATTGTTATGATCAGGATCCCAGGGTTTTGGGTTGAGGGATTTTGGAGGGCTTTAGGGTGGGGCTTTAGAGCTCGGGGTTTGTCTAGTCTGGCGCTTTATGCAGGATTGCAGGGTTTGGGTTGAGGGATTCTTGGGTGCTTTAGGGTGGGGCTTTGGGGCTCGGGGTGTGTCTAGTCTGGTGTTTTATGCAGGATCCCAGGGTTTTGGGTTGAGGGATTTTTGGGTGCTTTAGGGTCCGGCTTTGGGGCTCGGGGTGTGTCTAGTCTGGTGTCTTAAGCAGGATTCCAGGGTTTTGGGTTGAGCGGTTTTGGGGGGGTTTTAGGGTGGGGCTTTAAGGCTCGCGGTTTCTCTAGGCTGGTGTTTTATGGGATTCCGGGATTTCAAGCCTCGAGCCCGGGTGTCGGTGCGATGATACTATATAATAATAAGGTATATATCATTATAACTACTTAAGGTGTTTCGGAGACTCTGGGTGTAGCTCGGAACAGGTTTGCCAGGCCCCACACACATGAAATCTAGTTTATCGGCAAAGCCCTGATCCCTAAACTCCTAAACCCGAAGCCCTACCCCAATAACACTCCCAAAGCATGGCACCCGCCGTACTACTACTACTACTACTACTACTACTACTATGCTACTATTGCAACTCGAGGACGACGACTGCGAACTGCTGCTACTGCTTGCTGCTGCTTCTAGCACTACCACGACCGGTGCTCATCATCACGTCGTGATCATCAGCATCGTCATTTCAGTATATATTGATCCGAAACTGAATTGTTGCCAGCCACATTAAGTCCATGATGTCGTTCTCGACAGCATCAGCTTGGATCTTGCCTTCGGCCTCTGCCGACTGGGCTTTGATCTTCTTGTCCTTCACCCGAGCAAAGGCCTTGTAGAGCCACAAATCCTCTCTATCCGGAAAGTCCGGGTTCCTGAGCTCACCATTACAGCACTCTCAAGCTGAAAGCTCTAACGACGAACGACCACATAAAATTCGATGATAAATCTGACCGATTAGCGAGAGGATGAACCTCCCTTTGAGATGGGCTGGCAGCTTGCCCTCCGCTTCCTTGTGTCTGGCAATGAGATCGCCCGCAAGTTCTTCGGACTTCAGATGGTTGATGAGCTCTGTCCTCGTAAACCATTCCCATATCTGCTCCTGTTTGATGGAATTGGACTTTCGCACCGAAACGGTCAGGGTGCACTCGCTCCAGGTGCCTTTGCACTGGAGGTAGCTCATATAGAGCATGTGCATCCGAGAAGAATTGCCCTGAGCCTTGATCATCTCATCTGCCACTTCGTCCGGGATGTCTTTTTTCTTGGAGCCTTATTATTATTATTATCTTGAAGCACTATGCGACCTGGTGCTTTTATCTGGCTTATCCACCCACATCCCCGACTCTACAACTGGATCTGATACACCAGGTGGCTTCTCACCCCACGATAAAACCGCTGATAGAGCGCCTTCGCGTTGAGTGGAGCCCCGAATTTATCACATCGCCACCTGTTGTCCTCATCCTCTTGCTGAGCCTTCACCGGCACCTTGGTCTCCTTTGGGGGGCTTGTCGTCACCTGGGGGACTGCCTGCACAGGCGACACCATTTGGCCCTTGGCCGGGGATGGGGTGGGTTTCCCCGTCCCTGCCTTCTCGGGGGTGGGTTCCTCCGTCCCTGCCTTCTCCAGGGTGGTTTCCTCCACGCTTTCCTGCACCTGTGCATTTGCTTTGTCGATGACATGCTGTGCGATGGCAGCTGTGGGCTGTCGGTTGAGCAGCTGGTCCCCTACGGGTACATCATACTCCCGCCAGCTATACTGACGAGTCGGCCGGTGCGTCGCCTGACAGTCATTCCTCCAATCAGCCCAGTCCCACCCACTACCCCACCACGTCCAGTCCGATGCCTCCCACCACGCGGGCTCCGGCTGGGAGTCCACATACTCTAGATCTGGCCCCTCACCCACGAAAGTAATCTTTTTGGGCGTCACCTTCTTGTCTTGGCGCTTCTGCGGCGGAGATCGTATGGGTGTCCTCAAATTCGAAGCACATGTACTATAGAGATATATACATTGCACAATACACAAAAACTACACTGCTCTATAGATCTACATACCTATACACTCTGCCGTGCTACCACCCTAGCACCTCTCCTAGTCCGAAATAATATAAAATAGGACTACTACTACTACTACTACTACTACTACTAATAATAATAATAATATAATAATAATAATATAATTATAACAACAATAGCAATAATAATTACTACTACTACTACTACTACTACTACTACTACTGGGACGACTACTACTGCTGCTGCCTCTCAGGGCTGCTGCTGCTGCCGCCACTACAACCGAAACCGCCAAAACTGCCTAGCTACCTAATTATGAGCGACCCCAACCCAGACTACCACTACCCAATCATATATAAACTCTCATGAGCACAACCTCGCAGGATCGGAGATGTTGGGCAAGCTGCCCCGCGTCGGAGGTAGATAAGCGGCTTCAGGGATTAAGGTTTAGGGTTTTATGGGTTGTTGATCATGAGAAATTACCGATTAGTTTTGCCTCGGCCACGGGGCTAGGTGTTAACGAATGACAAGGCTTTGCAATTGGGTACAAGCACAATATGTTGCAGCTCTCGTATCACATTCTGCATTGGAGCTCAGAAGTCACGAGCCAGGGCTTGACATTAGCAGCATATAGGGTTTCGGGATGAGGGTGTGCACGACACAGGGTTCAAGGGTTTAGGGTTTAGGATCTAGGGTTTCAGGGTTTAAGGTTTAGGAATATGGGGGTTTAATATGGGTTTAGGGATACCGGCTTCAAGGGTTTAGGGTTTCTTATTGGGGATATAGGGTTTAAGGGTTTAGGGTTTATGGATATAGTGTTTACGGGTTTAGGGATAGAAGGGGTGTGGGACTTTTTGGCTTCAGAGTTTAGGGGGTGATTGATTATCGGACTCAGTCGCGGCCTTGGATTAAAAAAGCTTGGATAGGGGTTTAGTGGTTGTGGTTTTCGGGTTTAGGAATAAAGCAAGCCAAAAGTCGACTTCGGCGTCGGGGGGGGCTTGGCACAGGCTTTCTCAGGGGACGGCTTCTTGGGGCTAGGGTCAGGGCACGACGGGGCTGCGGGGGGCTGGGTTTCCTGTGCTGTCTTTGCTGCGGCTGCCGCTGCTGCTGGGGCGGGGGGTGGGGTCTGCTGCGCTGTCTTTGCTTCTGCTGCTGTCGGGATCCCCGACACTGGGTGGGGTGCGGTCTGCCTTGGCTTAGGTGGGGCTGTCTTCGCTGCAAGAGGTACAGGCTTAGGATTTGCCGGGGTGCGTGGGGCCTCCATGGAACCTGCAAGTCTGCTTGACTGAGCCTTTGCCTTTGCGATGATAGCTTGCACTGCGCTAGCAGAAGAACCCGCGAGCACACATCCAACGGCATTGCCACGCGCAGTCTTTGGAGCTGCTGGCGCTGCCTTCGGCTGCCCTGAGCCACTGCCTGAGTTGGCCTTCCCCATGACAGCAACGAGAGGCGTTGCAGAATTCGTGATTTTAGCCGTAACGGTTCCAGCCCTTCTGTAACGGTTCCGAGGCCTCCTGTAACGGTTCCAAGGCCTCCTGTAACGGTTCCAGGGCCCCCTGTAACGGTTCCGGGGCGTCGCGTTTCAGCTACGTATCAGCGTGCAGTTGCGGGCTATTTGGGTCCTACAACATCGAATAGACGGTCATGCTCGAGCCTTGTAGTAGCCTGTCTGCCATGCTTTGTGTGAGTCCACATCAACACCAGATGCTGAGTCACATGCACGAAAGAGGCAACTTGTTTTCACATGTGATGCAGCCTTCGCGCCTCATAGCACGTGTCGCAGCAGTTAATTGCAATCATGCATCATGATCACACAAGTGCACATGCCGATCGCCACCCATCGGTTGCTATGGCTATGGCTGGTAGCAGCGCTCACCCCTGCAATGGCCCGGTGTTGCCCACTAGGTCACAGATAGGCTGCCCCAAGCCTCTAGCGACCTTTTTTTCGAATTATATAGGAACCCCAACATCCAAATATGTAAAAGCTCGGTGGTGGCTATCATGATCACATATATAGCAACCTAGGATTGAATCAGCAGATCCTGTACATACTGAAAATGAGACCTCGGGGCCCCTTGCCACACAAACGGCTGCTTCGAAATCGGCAACCCCGGCCTAGGCTGGAAGTCACCTTTGAGCGAGGCATCGATCAGCATCGCCACCAGTGGCTCCTGGTTAGGCTATTACTATAATAAGACTTAATTCGTGGGGGTTTTGGGGTTGGGGAATTCTAGCAAGACCAGGATAAAGGCAACACTAGCAAAGCATTCCTCCCAGTATTATGATCCTACGATAATTGCATGGTAATAGCTAGAAATTGCACTACTACTTTTGTTATGGCCACGAAACAGATCCCCGAAGACTTGTGCCCCGATGGCAGTCCCCCACACCCCCCGCCCACACCCCCCGCCCCCCACACCCCCGCCCCCCCATAGCCGTCGGTAGCCGTCGGTAGGCGTCGACCCTGTCCTTGTTCGGGCCGAAAATGTCTCCAACGTTGTGGCACGGAGCCTGTCCTCGTTAGGGCCGAAAATGAAATTTTTCGGCTCTGACGTTGTGGCCTTTCCTGTAAGGGCCGACACCCCCCCCACACCCCGTGCGGGGCCCAGGGCGGGCCCCACAAAATCGGTGCGTTCTGGGGCACAAGAGACGAGCATCATGAGTCAGCCGGGCCTAGTTTGTGGGGCCCAGGGCGGGCCCCACAAAATCGGTGCGTTCTGCGGCACAAGCTATCTACTTCCTACCTACTTGCCGAGCTACCCACCTACCCAGCACCTAGCTCCCTGCTGCCAGCCACCTACCGAGCCACCAACCCCCAGAACGCCAACTTCTTACCTGCTTCCCGAGCTACCTACCTACCTAGCTACCTACCCACCCTAGCTACCTAGCTACCTAGCTACCTAGAATCACACAGCCCGACAACCACCCCCCAAACACCTCCCAGTGTGGGGGCAGCAAAACCTTTAAGCCTTTAAACCCAACACCCTAGTTCTACTGTGTCACCCTCGGCAGACGTCCCCCTACTCGAAAGCATCAAGAGTGCTGGTCTCTGGTGCAGGCATATAGGGTTTAGGGTTGGGGTTTGTGGTTCCTAATATAATACCTCTTCCAGTGTTGTAAAGGTTACACCGAATGCGCCCTGATGGCTGGTCATTGAAACCTCGTGAACTTTAACCTTAGGGTTTGGGTGTTATAATTTAGGGCTCAAGGTCTTTATGAACTTGGAGCCTCAGAATAGCATTCATAGGGGTGGGTGCTTAAGCAAGGGCTAAGTTCAAAAGGATGGCTACATTGTTAAGTTGAGCATTCATAGGGTGGGTGCTTAAGCAAGGGCGAACTTTAGGAACGATAGTTACATTATAAGCTCAGTATTCATAGGGGTGGGTGCTTAGGCAAGGGCTACGTTTAGAACAAAAGCTAGTTGCAGCAGGAGTATCGGCAGTAGTCATAGGGTCAGGCGCAAACTAAGCTCTATTTTGGGGCTTGGGTGTCAGGTCAAGAATTCCATTAAATGCAGGCTCTGGTGGCCGGATGCAGAACAAGACAGGGTTTTCGAGCTTAAGATCTACAGCTAGTGTCTGTCGGGTTTAGGCTGTAGGGGCTAAGGGTCTAGGGTTAAGGGTGCAGGGTTTATAGATCCAATGGAGGATGACTGTATGTAGTAAAGAGCAAGGCACGTACAAACCCTGTACCCCGTACCTTGATATCCTGAGCTTGCGACCACACACTCGTATAATCTTTGAAGTTGCAGGCACTGTCGGGTTTTGATTTTGCCAACATGCAACTCCTGTGATTCCTGTGGGGTCTCAATTTTGGTGGAATAGCCGTTGTTGCTGGCCTCTTGGGGCAGAGTCTACACTTTGAGGGTTGGAGGGGTTAGATCAACTAGGTTTCGCTGATGAAAACCCTAAACCCTAAACCCCTAAACCCTAAACCCCTAAACCCTAAACCCTAAATTAAACCCTAAACCCTAAACCCGAATTCTAGAATTGGAATTAATCTGTCTAAGGTCCAAACTCCTAACCGAGAGCAATCGCTTACAAATTGTAACTTGCTCCGGTATAGTGCAGTGTAGTGTAGTCTGAGGGCTCGGTCAGGCACCGAGTCAGGAAATTGATTGATGTCTAACCCGGCACCCGAAAAACAAACAGTCTTTACCCTCCTATGCAACTCAAGCGAGGCTCCAGGCAAGCATCGTGCCAGAAGTCAGCTTCGGGAACCTGTGTTGTCGAGGATTATAGTTATAAAAGGGATCAAGCATCTAGCCCATTTGAAGTTTCGGCCCCTGGATACTACGACGACGACGGCGTCGAGCGACAAAGACTCCTAGCACTGGGGAGCAGTAGTAGTAGTAGCAGTAGTAGTAGTAGTAGTAGTAGTAGTAGTAGCAGTAGTAGTAGTAGTAGTAGTAGTAGTAGTAGTAGAAGAGCAGGAGCAGCAGCAGCATCAGGAGTAGTAGTAGTAGTAGTAGTAGTAGTAGGAGGAGTACTAGCAGCAGCAGCAGCACCAGCAGGAATCGTAGTAGTAGTAGTAGGTCACAGCCAAGAGCACATCTTTGCAGCACGGAAACCAAACAATCCGGCGGGGTCTTGAATGCATCCACAGTCAATGTGCTCGGGGAGTTGCGGCTGTCCTGAATGATCATGACACAAATGCCATGATGCACAATCCATTGCAGCACCGTAAATCTTGCTACTTGTCAACCCCTGGACTCCCTAGATTCTGGCACGATTATAAACGAACCGAAGTGCATGCGAGCAGCAAAGCAATAAGCATTTTGAAGGAGGGCCACCTGCCGACAAAACCTTTCAGGGTACTGCTGCGTCCCTCGAAGAAGAGGGCCTCCAGTCCTGGGCACTTGTAGGTATAACAGAAACGTGAAATCCCTGACAACATCTGGCTGATTTCATGCTACACAGGCTGCAGCCTAGAAACACTTTTACTTTCCCATCTTTCTTGACCCGGCGGACTACCCCGGATGAGTCCCACTGGTCCCGGCTGCCGCGTGGTAGCCGACGTGCCAGGTTGAAGTAATCGGTCCAAATCCTGGGCGAAACAGAGGTTTAAACTAGCTAGGATCAATCGTGCTCCCGCCACGTCATGTGCCCCGGAATCTCCAAATACAACCGCAATACCCACATGAGGATTGTTCCAACAAACACACTGACACCCCAATGTTTCGGACAAATCCGCCTATGTAGGCCCAGCATCGCATTTCCGAACAGCATCGTGCGCTTGATTGTCGGGGCTCCGAGATTTCCCATCCAGCTTAGATCATCAGACAATGGAGCAAGAATTGCTGGCACAAAACCGAATGCTAGACAGATATACAATAATTTTAGACCAAGCACAATCTCACCAGGCGTCCGGGATCAAGGTCTCGCTTGATTCTGTTCACATGCATGACCCATTGCATCCAGGGCAGTTGAACTGCTGAAGAGCTGCCCGGCTGTTCGATAACCCAATAGACCCCACGGCAAAGAGCCACAAGAAGCATGAGCCCCGTTCTCGCTGCTTGCTGGTTTCCGACCCTCGTGCTTCGCACTGACTGGTCTCCCTTGGGGTAGTGACGAGACCGACCAGAACTGGCACGGTTGATCCAAACATGGCTTGAGCAAGGCAGCCCACAAAAGAGCAGGCCTCCTGAGATAACTCTCAAGAGTTTCTGAAGGGAAAGCGTGTAGCCGATCCTGGCCGTGGGATCAGATTTTGAACCCCTTTATGGAAAATAGTGTCATGTCTAGCAATCGCATCGACGTGCCCACAAAATGTATAATACGAGCTGAGGCACGTGGAACAGACATCCTCCTTCTTGTCGTCAGAAATATCAAACGAAGAGGCCCTGAACCCCCGCATTCGAAAAGCTCGGCATATCCCGGCACTGCCGGAGAACATCTCCAGCAAATGAACATTCCGGGGCATATGATGTGACTTCTGACAAACATAATCCAGGATGTGTATCCTGAGACACTCTTGGGGCAAGCTTCCAGTTTGGATGCCTGCACACTGTATGCACTCTGCAATGCAACAAACGTATCTTATCAAGTCTAGCTGCAGAACGGGTGGACACCCCAGCAACAGCAGCGTCCCGACTTCCAAGTCGGACAAAGAGGCTACCATGGCGCTCGAAAAGCCAGCCCTTGAGGCCACCTACTTCTTCTTGCATAAACCCCGCGATTAACAAAACGAGCGTAGCAATTTGTGCAAACATGACCAAATGGCATCACTCCAGCGAAACCTCAGACATGGTTTTTTTCGACTAGCACCTCACGGGACCCCAATCGTCATTGCCCAGATGGGATACCATCCAGGATGCCCAATGCGTTGCATCACTGCAGTCACTATGTAGCGACTCGCACAAAAATCCACCCCCCTACCCAGAGGCTCGCTTCAAGTCCCTCTTGTGCTCGTCAACAAAGGAGCTCACCGCATCCATGGATTCTCCCTGCTCCAATTTGTCAGCCTTGATTCACATTGAATGGTTTTAAGTGGGCTGTGCAATGTGTTGTAGCCTCAACATCCTTAGCTGAATAGGTGGTGCCTGAGCTACCCACCGCATCCATGACCAAATTCAAGATTTGGCGCATTTTGCCCAGAACGGGGCCGATCATGAAGAACTGAGGGAGGAGAATGCACTGGTCAATGGCTTATCAACAGACTCGCTCTATTTCTTTTCAATCGAGCTGAGACACACTCTTCTTCTTTTCCTCCGGAGTGGGAAACGTCTCGAGGGCAGCAGTGGTTCTTGTCCAATATGGAACAACCTCCCGGGATTAGCTCACGGAGTGGGCAAACGACCCTCAACTGCACCACAGAGTTATCTCGCCAGCCCGGCCTTGTAATGGGGGAACTTGCGGATGGTCGGCTGGAGCTCAGCCTTCTCCTCTGGGCTCACCGCCAGGCTTCCTGGGATGACCATACATGAACTTCTTATAATAATTGACAGGTTCACCGCTCTGCTCAACCCAGAGGCCTGCCAGTTTCAAAATCTGTTCAAACGGTACCAAATCAGGTTTTCGGGAAAGCGAACTGAGCAACAGAATGAAGTTACTACAGCCTGTCATGCCAGGGACACGAATGAAGCTACAACCAACAGCTAGCACTTTCGCGGGAGAGTGTCGATCCTTCGGCTTGTCCTTGGCCTCGGCCTTCTCCGGTTTGGATCGATTTGTCTTCGGCTCGGCTTTGTTCTTGGGGCCTGGCTTTGCCTTGCCCTTGGCTTTCGGGGCCGCTGGCGGGGAATCTGTGGGGCCTGGCTTTGCCTTGCCCTTGGCTTTCGGGGCCGCTGGCCGGGAATCTTTAGGGCCTGGCTTTGCCTTGCCCTTGGCTTTCGGGGCGGCTAGCGGGGAATCTTTGGACTGATCCGGAATCTTGGCTTTCTTAGCCGGCAAGGCTGATGCATCCTCCTGCTTCCTCTTCTGCTTCTGTGGTGTCTGCTGAACGGTGCCTTCCTCTTCAGCCTTCGCTCCCCTGCCTCGGCCACCTCGGCCGCGTCCACCACGACCGGGTGTCCTGTG